TATATATCGTTCAACATTATATCCATGTTATAATCATGGTTATTGATAAAATGACATGCAACTGAATGTTGCTAGTCAAAGAATATAGGTGCTATATATCGCCTTAAAAATACATACTACAAATGTGCAACAGCAAACCCACCCAGTTTATGGTTTTATCAACATAATAATTAAACTTTTTATTGAATGTATTTGCAAAGTTGGAAAAGGTTCAACAAATGATCTTTTCCCTAACCAAATTGCTGTTTTGCCTAAACGACACCCTGGGCCACAGGACATGACCCCTGTACGCCCACCATCTATTCCGATCACCGCCCTGTGAGTTTTCTGTGGAACGTAGCACATCCTGGACGGTAAAACCGTCGCCAGTGAACCTAATCCAAGGAGCAATTACGTTTCGTAACCCATTTAGTATAGGATATAAACAGAATTCTTATGAGACAGGGTTGAACCAGCAAAAGCAATTTAAGTATTTTCTATTGTTTTAACATTACAATGTGGGCGCTGAAATGGAGGTCATGTCGTAAATGCTGGCGTAGATAGGCGACTCATGACTCATTTAATTGACACCACTTTTTCTCGTCTATCGTCATTTCTCTCTACTTCGTCTTCTGTCCTATTTGCTCACCTAACCATTAGTCAATTTATTTCCAACTCCCGAACCCTTTTCCCCCTCCACCACCTCTTCACCTTCTGAGGTCAGCAGACAATGGGCCACTTCAAAAGGCTGGTTTGCTTTAGACATTCTTTCTGAAAAAGGAGAGAACAATTATAGCTACTCTGGCCTGTGCACACACAAAAAAGGATGTTGCCTAAAAACAGAAAAGGAAAGGATGCCGGGGACAGAATAAAATGGGGGTAGTGAGTAAGCCACAAAGAAAGAGAGAGGAAGCCGCAGTATCCTGCAATGACATGGCCACAACCAAACTAGAATGAGATATGTGGTATGTGAAGTATTTTCCTTAAATAGGCCTCAACGTTTGTTTAGGGATCTATTTTTCCTTCAGTTGGGCTCGGTTTTTTTCATGTTCTGAATGACAGGAAAGAGGAAAGGGAAGAGGAAACGATAAGAGGTTGAACTTGGACGTTTCTTTCCCAGAAAGGAGACTGGGCAGCGACGCTAAGAGTGAGTGGGTGTAATAGCTTTGCTTACGCATTCACTGCCAGAATAAGAATTATTCCATGACGACTTCCAGGGAAATGAAAAGAGGATACTGTAAGGCCTTTTGCATCATGTCCTTGACACAAGCGGCGCAGTCATGCCTTTATTTTTGTCATTGTTGAGAGGAAGAGGAGTGGGCTTTTGCTGCTGTTTAGGTGTTTTCTGTTTCACACCACTTGTCCTAAGATTGATTTTCACAGAAGTAGGAGGAGAGGACTGAATGTTAAAATAAATGATAATGAGATTTAAGAAGTAACTTCAATAACAAAAGTGCAACTCTTATCAGTTCATGAAGACATCAAAAGATATCCATTGAATACAACATGTTTCCTAGATGGTATATTTATGTTAAATGTAAAATAATAATAAAGATTGTCAATGCTATTTCCATTTTTCTCTGGAATCCTGTCCCGTGCTAGTGAGACTTTTGTTTCCTGTTAGTGGACGTCATGATGCTGTGCGGGACATTTTCTATTTTGATATTATAATTGGATAGAAGTGAATAATACTGTTGAACAATACAGTACAATTGAACAGTACTTTAGGTCCTTTCCTTCGTTCTGAACGTCATCAGGAAGTTTAAAAACATCACAAATACGTTGAAAGACACACTGATGAAAGATGTTTTCAACAGGAGGAACTAAAGCTCAGTTTCCTATAGGATGCTGAGTCATATGGGAGATTTCAACGGTGCCATGGTGTTCACACAGGGTCATGAAAGCGAATATCCTGGCTTTAATCAAATAGTGTTTAAAATAATCATTGGTGTCTGGTGTCATTAGTGTGTTGGTAGTGTACATTCCCAGGATGTGAAAAGGATAAAAGAAGAAGAAAGAGGTGTGACTTCACTGCTAAATATTCCATTCAGGATATTTTTGACCATCACAGGCGTCATCGCTCCAGTTGGTATTTGTGTATGTGAGACATCACAGCTGAGAAGACAGACCCACTTCTCGTCTCTAGGTGTGTGTGTGTGTGTGTGTGTGTGTGTGTGTGTGTGTGTGTGTGTGTGTGTGTGTGTGTGTGTGTGTGTGTGTGTGTGTGTGTGT